AAGCAAATAGGACTCTCTCTTTGTAAAATATATCTTTATTGATTTCAGAGAGGAAGGGAGAGGGAGAGAGAGAGATAGAAACATCAATAATGAGAGAGTCATTGACTGGTTGCTTCCTGCATGCCCCCTGCTGGAGATCAAACCCACAACTCGGGCATGTGCCCTGACCGGGAATCGAACCATGATCTCCTGGATCATAGATCAATGCTCAACCTCTGAGCCATGCTAGCCGGGCAGGACTCTCTTTTGAATGGCACATTAATAAAGAATGCTCTCAAAGAAGGGGACTCTCTGGCCCTTTCACTCCTTCTGTTCTTTGCTCCTGGTGAGGTTGAGGAGATGTTGGCACAATAATACAGTAGGTTTGTTAGGAGAAGTGATCGACACTGGTGATAGTCTGACTGCTTTGTAGAAACTAACTCTGAAGAATCTGAGAAGACAGAGTGAACAGTTTTCCTGGCTTTGACAATATGGGACAAAACAGTAAGGTGAGTCAGGATTCTGGAGCAAGGACAGAGAAGGTACAAGTGAGGTAAAGAGGGCAGAGAGATAAGAATAAGGTCCTTTGGGCACCCATCTGAGGACAATCAGGTTGGATCTCTAAATGTTTCCCACCACCACTCATCACTTAGTAACCACTATAGCCTTATTACTGAGCACTATTTTACTCATGGATGGTTACAACACAGCAATGATTTAAGTAGACTTTGTAAACTACTTTTGTCTGATTATTACAACAGATTTCCAGTTTCAAAAGCATTTCCATACTCAAAGTAACTATTTATTTTCCCACAATAAAGGCCACGGTAAGCAATGACTTTCACTGGGATCAATATCAGTGAATAGAGTTTTCCAGCCCTTTAGGCAAAACAGCATCTTATTCTGTCTTAAATCTGTGAGCCACCCGTGTAACAAACTTGTAAACTGAAGGGCAATTGAGCTAAAAAAATGAGGCAGACAAAATTACAACTTATTTCAGCACGAGGCAAAATATTGGCAATTAACTGAAATATTTTCAGGATACTTCAAGATTTAAGAAGCCATGCAAGTCAGCAACATACATGGCTGCAGCAATTTACGTGTAGGGTTATCAAAGCTTTGAACTTATGACAAAATTAGTACAGGCTTCCCCCATTCTTGAAAAGCAAAGCGGCATAAAGTGAAGGACACATCTTACTAATGCATGCTGCACAAAGTAAGTGGAGATACAGCACAGGTGCCCACAGACACGGTCCAGAGCTGTGGGCCTGCTGCTGAGATGCTGAGCGTCGCTCCTGGGGAAGGAGCTTGGTGCTGCTTCTATAACAGCTCCTGCAAAACAGAGCCAAACATGATTTCCACTTTTTGCCTTCTTTTTGTAAAAGCAGATATCCTCTTGGGATTTCTTTGGGTTAATGAAAACAGATACTAATGTAGGTCTTTTGCAAAGGCTAAGTGGCATAAAGTGAACTTGTACATATGAATATGTTAAATTGCTTCAGAAAAGTAAAAGTATGTCAGCAGAACCGTTGAAAGAGAAAAAATATTGGAGAAAATGGGACTGAAGAACAATAGAATTTGATAATCATGGAAAGGATATTTTTAAAAGAAATAACTGCACGTTCATATAGAACAAATGAAGGATTAGTTTGACAGGAGGTATATGTACTTAGGATAGGACTGAGATTTTGCAAAGAGTTGAAAGTTATTTGTTATTTTTTACTCAAATCCTATGAAAGAAATGTTAGTAAAATTATCTGGTAGCAAAATGCAAGGTGGACTGTCTAGTAGCTAAAAGAAGATAAATAAATAAATCTCCTGGTAATTAGCAAGGAAATACGCCAAAGGCAATGGCACTGGGAATGGGGGGAAACGGCACATGTAAAAGACATCCCAAATTAAGAAATTATTGAATGAACACAAATGACAAAAAGATGAGATTTAAAGCTTTAAAGAGAGGGAAGAATCATAGATGTTTAAAAATACATTGTTAAAATATAAAAAAACAAAGACACCATACTAAGTAAATAGGAGCATGAGTGGTGGTCCCTTAACAAATTTAGGTTAATACCTGTTGTACATAAGTTGATTAGAGACAAGAATATAGAACTAAATTCCGAATTTGGAAACTCTCACTTTTCACAAAATGTTGAGTGAACATCACACTAAAGTAAAACGAACAGCCTAAGCGTTCTTGAAATATGTTGGCCTCTTGCTATAGTTGAATTATTGTACAAAGAACTAATGTGCTCTTAGGCATTTTTCTTAGAAATAAAGTCTTGAGATAAAATTCTCAGGAAATATACACTTACGGACTTTCTTTTTTAAAAAAATCTTATAATAATGATTCTGGTGATTAGTTTCATTTCTTTTAAATAATGCCAAATAGTGTCTGAATTTTAAAGTACGTGTTGGAATGTTGCTGACATCCACGGTGTCAGCGGTCCACCTTCCTTTTGTAAATTGTGGCTCAGAAGACATGGTTGAAGAAAAGATTACTCAACTTAATTCGAACAAATGATTTTACAAGAGCAACACATATCAGAATAAATTTCACAAACATGAAACATTGTGATTAATTTAGGAGGAATCATAGACCCATTACTCAATTTTAGATACGTTCAAAGCAATTTGGACTTTACAGTGAAAACCATGCTGCATGTTTGGGGGGTGGGGGGTCGGTCTATTACTAAGAATGAATTTTGCTATTGTTACCTTCTCAAAGAGAAATTTATATATTTTTTAGTTTTATATAAGAAAAGATGCCACGTGGGGGCTCACTCATTTAGCGTTGAGGTCTTGATACTTAAGGTAGTGCCCAGAACAAGAGAATTCGCATCACTCAGGAGCTTTTAAGAAAAGTAGAATTTCCAGTACATTCCAAGATACTGAATCAGAACCTGTTTTCAGACAAGATCCCCAGATAATTCCTATGTTGATTAAAGTTTGAAAAACACTAAATTAACCTTACAGGAACCGTTCAGTTTTGCAGGTAATATATTTTCAGATGCATTATGATCAACATGTAAGGTTCTATGTAAAGGATGTTAAGGAAGTTATTTATTTAATGCTAGAGGAAGCGAAACCAGTGTTACTCAAACCATATTATGTCCCCTATATCGTGTTAGACATTTCCCTATCTGTTGATTCAATCATCCTTCTAACACTGTCGGAGACGAGGCACACTGTCTCCGTGTCCTGGGCACGAGGAGCATCCTCAGGTTAAATCCTCATCTTCTCTCACAGTCCATGCACTCAGTGAGTGCTGGGCACCCCACTGCCCAAAGCCCTGGGCAGGCTCGGAAATAAAAGGAGCGTGGTCCCTACTGTCACGGAACGTCCAATAGATTGTAATTTAAACAAACGCTACTACAGAGAATGAATTTTGCTAGAGAATCTCATCTTCTCAAAAGAGAATTTTATATATTTTTTAGTTTTACATAAGAAAAGATGCCCTGATGCCACGTGGGGCATCTTTTCTTATGCCCCCCCAAGAAAATACAAGGTCGTATACGTTTCTAAGAGGGAAACCTAAAGTTTCAGAAGTTGTTTAGGGAAAACTGATATTTGGATAAAGAATCTAAATGATTTCAGAGGAACCCATTTTTGTCACGTTGGCTCTGGGGGAAAAAAAAAAAGGTGCGTGTGTCCTGGAGCTCAGGGAGGGGAACCGGGCAGCAGCGGAGGCCGGAGCGCGGCAGGAATCCTGCAGAATTCTGGAAAACAAGGTGCAAGCGCAGGAGCCCAGCCCGCAGCGGAGGGCGCGATGGAGGGCGCTCGGCG